GGTTATGAACTGGATAAATGATAAAGTGCTCCTTGTCTGATTAATCACAAACGCCCTCGAGTACTCTTCCTGTACTTTTTTTGGGTGTCAGGGACTCCTAAGTTCCTTTAGAGCATTATACACATATTTCCTGTCTAAGCTATCAGAAATATATATGTTGCATTCTTAGCATTTCTCCAGAAGCATCTGATAGTAAAGATATGATCTAGGGTTGATCTATTCTGATGGAATCCACTTTAATAGTACCCTAGGATCTGTTCATTATACCTTTCCAGTTTCCTTGCTAATAGTTTAGTGATGATTTTGTAAGTTAAATTAAGTAGGGAGATTCCTCTAAACGTTGAGCAATCCAGCTTAGATCCTTTCTTGTGAATTGGGATTATGGGAGCCGTACCCCATTCTTTTGGCATTTATCGTCCTGCCAGATTCTGGATATGAGGTGGTGTATTTGCTTATGCGGTTAGTTTCCACCTAGTTTTATCAGTTCTGTAGTGATTAGGTCCCTTCAAAGTGTTGTGCCCATTTCTCTAGTACCCTGCTGCACTCTGTGATCAGTTCTCCATCCAATCTTTCACACATATGTGATCTTGATTGAAAGACATTCTTTTCCAGGTGGTTTTTAGATACATTTCCCTCACATCTCTTTCTTTTGTCAAGTATTCGATCTCCACAATTTTTTTTTACTTTTCCCAATCAGGTTTTTTCTATTGATAAATTTTTGTATCCACCATTCTTGTTTCATTAAATATTTGTCGTATTCTTCTTGTCACGCTTTGCAGCATCATTAGCTGATCCCTGTTTCTTTTTTCTATAAGTTCTCTGCATTCTGTGTCATACCATGCTGTTCTTTTCCCTGTCTGTTTAAATCCTATTGTTTCCTCTGTTACACTTTTAACAATTTCATTCATTTTTTCCCATTGCTCATTTATATTGATGTTGGCCCTTTCCCTTTTAGATAACTCTAGTTGAGTTTGAATCTTCTGTTGATATGCCTCAGTAATTTTTGGATCTCTGCTTAACTTCTGGCTGTTGTACCATTTTTCTCTTTTATTTAGTTTATTTATTGTGGGTGTTACACATTTTTTGTTTACATTTGATTTTTACAAGTATATGGTCTGAGTCTAAATCTGCCCCTCCAAAGCTTGGTACATCTAATATGTCAGAGCCATGCCTCTGGTCAATGAGTATGTGATCTATTTGGTTACAGGTAAATCCTGCTGGCCAAATCAATGTAGCTTGATGTATTTGTTTGTGTTGGAATATTGTACTGCTGATCCTCATTCTTTTCCTGTAGCGAAGTCTATGAGACGTGCTACATTGTCATTGCTTTTATCATACAGACATTCCTTTCCGATAATTGGTATGAAAGCAGGTTCTTTTCAATTTTCACATTGAAATCTCCAACGACTATTTTGGTATCAAGGCATGGTACCTCATCAAATATTTGTTCAAGTCTTTCATAAAAAGTTTCCTTAATGCTCACATCTGCATCTTCCCTTTGCAGCATGTGCGCAAATTAACGTGATGTTAAACATTTTCCTCTTAACCTTATGGAGCATGGTCTTTCACTCACTGGTTTAAACCCAAGTACAGCATTTACTGTCTCTCTTTGAATGAGAACCCTGTTCCTTATGTGTGTTGTTTCCACTGTAGAATATTGTATATTACTCAGTACTTAGTATATCCAAGTCTTTCCATCTTATCTCCTGCAGTGCAGCAACAATGATTCTATGTCTTATCAATCTGTCTCTGAGACGGGCCAGCGCTGCAGCTCTGTAAACTCAGAACATTCCAGGTTGCCTTCCATAAATCATAAACTTGTCCAAGCAAAGGTTGAAATCCAAAAATATCAGTCCATTTTTTCGTTTGTGGTTTAGCTTTAGTAACATTGGAATTTTTTATGTGACAGGGTCGTCAGCCCTGTGCACAATCCATGGGGATTTCCCTTAAAGTTCTCAGGGTAGGTGCCTTTGTTTTAGGTAGGTCCCCAGCCTTTGTGGATCACCCCACTTCCTACAAGGCAGTAGGTTCAGATTTTGGTCCTTCACGGGTATTTGATTTCTCCAGCACCCACCATATCCAATTGACTTTCCCCTATCAGCCGCCTGGGGAGGTGCTCGATGGAAGATCAGTGTATCCGCATGAGTAAAGTAGATATGTGCAAGACTCTAAAAATACCATGGTATATCATACAATATATTTTCTAGATATAGATTGTTTTCTGATATCTTTCTGTAATGTAGTCAGTCGTCGCATAATGACTGATGGAAGTGGCATAATATTCTGATCTAATGAGTGAAGTGTTCTTTAGTTTTTAAATGTTATTTTGATTTGTCTCACTACATCATGATATAAAGTACAATTTTCAATTTACCAGTCTCAGACTGTTCACATTATTAATTTGTGGCTATCAGTTTATTTGCTTCTAGATTTTCAAAATATTTTTATTCATCATTAATTAAACTTGATTGAATAAATACAATTACAGAATGTTAATTTAATTAAAACATTGACAAAAATATCTTCAGATGGAAACAACCATCAAACAAGCAGAAGAAGAAAGAGCTAAGGCTTATGAAAATGCTAAAAGATTGTATGATGAATGTCGACCACTTAAAGAAGAAATAGATGTTCTTCGAATGAGAGCCGGACTAGACATTCAAACAGACATTAATGAAGAGGGAGAAAAACTTAAACCAGAGTATGTTAAGATTGTATTCAACATTTTATTTAAATTAATCTTAAATCTTTTATGGAGACTTAGTTTACGCAATGTGCAAAATACCCTGGATTTATTCACTTATTAAAACATTTGATATGAAAACATTGATAGACGGATGAAATTTCTTACACACTTCTTAAAAAATATTTATCTTTTTTTAATTTGGTATGTTGAAAATACAATTTAAAGCTCAAATCTTGCATGATAAGAAATGAAATTTTTTTTATAGTTTCTTTGAGAAACCACCTACATCAGAATGGAATACAGAGCCTCCTGAGCCTCCTATTCCTCAGACACTAGCTGTTGCTGCTGCAGCTGCACACCAAATTCAAGTTCCACGCAACAAGAATGATCGACAAGCTTTTCGTCAACAACCACCGCCGATGAAGGTATGGAAATGGGATACAATTATTTCTTTAAGATGCAGTTTAAAAGATAATAATTTTTATAAACAACTTCTATAAAACTCTATCACCACAAATCAAAATTGTAATAAAACAATACAAGTTTAACTTTGATCATTAAGCTTCTGAATATTGGAGAAATCTTTGATTGTTTAATAAGTTCTCTTTCTGTAAAATTAAAATACAATATTGATAATTTTGTGCTCATCTGATTTGTACATTTTTTCCCAGGCCTGTCTCTCTTGTCACCAACAAATACATCGTAATGCACCAATTTGCCCTTTGTGTAAAGCCAAAAGCCGATCAAGAAATCCCAAGCGTCCTAAACGAAAAGCTGATGAGTAAAACATTATCGTGTTGCTTTGCTTATGCTTATGTAGCATTCCATATTAATTTCTATTATTAAATATAGCATTAATTTTACAAACTTTGTTTTATGTTTTGAGTGTAATTTTTTTTCCAAAAATATTTGTGGTCTTTTTTATGTAACATTTGTCTTATAAAGAATGCTGTGTCTTTTCCTTTACTGAAGTCTGCATTGGTTGTCACTGACAGAATTTACAACTGCAGATATTTAAAATAAAATTTAACAAAGCCTTGCGTAACACCATCATGTACAGTCTTAAAGTCCCCAATTCTTTGTATGAGCTTGCATCTATCACATTAAACCACATCTATTAACTTACCATGTTTATATGGTACTTGTATATATTAAGTTGTGAATAGTTTAACAAAAATGCAGAGAATTTATAATTCAACATACTTGGGTGTAAATCTACCACCTTATCATATCATTTGAATGTGTGTTTAGACCAACACTTAAGTTTTAAATATATTTGTAATACTTATTACCCATTGTTTTTTCATTGTATTTTACAGTGGATCATTTTATTTGTTAACTTTATAACAAGTTGTTGAGTTTTGGATCTGGCCTGTGTTGTAAATGGATGTTTACAGTAATTGTTGTCAGCCTCCAGTACTATAAGAAAAATGTAAGAATTTTTATGATATCCTTATACAAAAGAATCATTTCATATAATTTAGAAGAAAAAAAATTATGTTGTAATCTCATATTATGTATTTCGCCATCATAGTTTTTAGACATAATAAAAAATAATCATGCGTCTGTCTTAAGTTAATTGTTATATTCATAGATATGGTATCTTTTGTTTCAATTAGCGGGAGGGGAGTCTATGAGTATAAGACATGCCATAGCATTTTTTATTTATAAAATTAAATTTTTGCCTTCATCTGACTGATTTTAAACATTAATTCACATCAAAAAAACAAACAGTTTATTTATAATAAGAATACCCAAAAATTTGTTCAACTTATTGTTAATAGATGCAACTAATTAGAGTTGGAAAAAAAACAACATAAAAGATGTTAGTTGGTGTTCTTTATTGTCTCCATGTAAAACATGTGTAAATTTGGTTTCTTCATTTACAAATACATTTCTTGAATGTGAAAAACACTGATTTTAATAAAACATAAAATAAGATAAAATAACTAAAAAATAATATGTATGTTGGAAATTTAACCAGCCATAAGATCTTCTAAATCTTAAACTATTAGCATCCAGAATGTTTTATTTTTTAAGGGTGAAATTTGTCAAATTAATTTGGGTTATGAAATACTGCTAGATTTATGATATGACTGTAGTGAAATATTTTTGCCATTTAGATTGATGTTGTTATATGTAAGCTATTTATCTCAATGATAATTCATGATCATAGCTTTGATCCAGCAATTCTTGCCATGACGCTCCCACAGAAGAATTGTGCCAAATAAATCATTTTATATTATTTATTCAGTTTCAACAAGTTTGTAATGTAAATGTTAGATGCTATGTACTGAATTTAAATTATATATTGGTGCCTCAGCCCTATTTTTGAATGGTTATGTATTTTCTTTTTAAAATTTGGGGGGTGGAAGAGTTTAAATATCTCTGGCAACATAACCTTGTTTTAGAATCCTCAAACTGTGTCTGAGGTGAGAGGAAAGTAAAACAGCATTCTTTACATTTATGAAAGACAAAAAAACACTAGATCTATGATATAAACATAACTTATTCTATTTTTAATAATATAAAATCTAGTAAGGTCCCACAAAATTACAGACTTTCATTTTAAACACATTAGCTTATTAAAAATGGTTTGTTCAACTTTGTATACTCCTACTAGTAGTCCTAGAAGGGATAAAATGTTGCCTATTAATTCCAGTGAATAGAAAAATAATTCCAGTGACTTACTTTAATAATATAAAAACTATACAAAGCATTTTTAAATGTATAATACATGATTTAATTACATGCTTGAAAAAGGCAGATAAACTAGATAAAATATATCACAGCAGGGTATGAAATGAAACAAAAAATGCAAATAACAAAGAAATTTACACAATAATAAAATAAACAATGATTATTCCCTAATTTCACTCAGACAAAGGAAATAAAACTAAGTTGGTCAATGAATAATGTTTCTCCAGTCCATTGTTTACCATGGAATCAAGGCCAGATTTTAAAAAAAACAGTGACTGACTGAGCTTGTGTTTGCTATATTGTTTTTGGTACCAAATCAGATTTATAGGTCACTGTTGGAAACTTAGGGAAAATACTAAATCAAACTTATACACCGTATGTCTGCCTGTAAGAAATTCTCTTCTAGTTCTAAGTAATTAATTAATTTTTTTGCAGTTAAAAACGCTTAAATCTATGTGAATGTAGAATGATACATTTTTTATAAAATTTTTTTAGTAAGAATTGAATAAAAACCATGTTTATTAGTTTCCTTAGTCATCTCATCCTATAATTAGTGCAAATGATAGCAAACAAGCAGGTGACAAAACATTTGTAATAAATATTACAGAATGTGATGTTATTGATATAATACATATTTACTCATTTATATTTTATAATTTTATTACAACTTTAACATAAAGGTCTGTGAATATTTCATTAAATAACTGACCTGAGTTTTTGATAATGATATTGATAAGTCACAAAAGTGTTTCTAATAAATTCAAAACAAAGAACTCTTTATTATAATAAAGACTTAATATAATAATTTCTCTTCAGATGAACATTTATAATGGCTTGATACTATAGAATATTTGTTTCCAAAAGTTGAATAAGTATGCTGCTGGTTGGTGACGAATCAGGTGTTCCGTGTCCTCTTTTATAATGGCAAAGCTATTGAAAAACATATTGCTTTACTATGCTACCAGTTCGGTGCGTATTTTGGCATCATATGTGTGATCATCATAAAACTGATTTCTGGCCCTTATACTTCTGTAGAGGAAAACAATGACAGGTGTACTGAAAATATGTGCAATCTAGAGCAGTGTTTCTCATACTGTGCCTTAGTGCACTTTTGAGAGCTATGGGGGGCCCTAAAGCTGGTCCAATTAATAGTGAAATTGGATGGTGGCACTTACAGGGTATTTAAGTGATTTCAAAACTAGTCTGTGTGGATTTTAACCCATAGTCCAAAAAATTATTCCATCAACATGTTCATAATAAATAGAAATATTCAATCATCGATTGACCTCATTCATCACAGTAAGAATATATTTAATAATAGAGACAATAATTTTAAGTCACTATAAGAAAAGATGGTATCGTACAGAAAAGATAGTATCACATTTTTGCCATTTTTCTTCAATATAAACTAATTTTTTAGAAGTTTAAATCTATATGCCATGCAAACTCTTAAGTTTGTGGACTAAGAGAAAGGAAAAAGAAAAGAGCACATACTTGAAAGAGGCAGTAGATATAAGAAATCACCAATAATTTCAGCATACATTCCAAATGGTAACATACCTCCCAACATAGGGTTCAACCCTACGCATGATGTGAGTACTTGGAAGCTCAGTGCCATAAGTTTGGAGAGTGTTGGACTTGGTGAATCCATCAGGTCTTGGCGTCTGCACTCCACCATTCATGTGTCCAGCCCTATCCACGCCTACAGGAGTTGGGTCTATACCAAATCTACAATGTGCAAAATTTGTGCTATTCATTATTTTCATTTTTGTTGACAAAACATTTTTATTTAATCGTCACACTTTCAATTTCAATTGGCATTTTAAAAAAACAACGTAGCATTATGTGTCAAATTTAAGGTACTCTGATATATTAATACAGTACTATTTAAGAAAAAGCTGCTTGAAATTGGTATTGAATTTTTTGCTATCATGTGTGACGAAGTAAAATATTATTTTACAATATTATTTATGTGTTACACCCGATATTAAAAATCCATTTCCCTATTTCTTTAAATAAAATCTGACCTGGTCATGTAGTGAGTCAGGAACCTCATCTTGTTATCATCAGTTTGAACAAATGGTGCATTGTTTTCTGTGAAACCAGTGTTTTCCTTAAAGCCAACCTTGGTACAATTAAGTCTGTCAGCTTCAGTTGGGACCGGCCTTTGTGAACCTCTGAACTGCTCCCCAGTGAGGCTATACGTAAAATACTCTTAACCTTTATTCTATTTCTACATTTCTGTGTAAATGAGTTTACATGTTGGGTAAATTTTAATCTAATTGCATTGAAACTGAATTTTTACTTTTTAAATGTTTTAAGATCATGAATATGAATACTCTGTCCCCCATTTTAAATTATGTTTGTCTTAATAGCATCAAATTCATCAAAAAAAATTATCCTTAAATAAGACTCTCAAGCATTGACTTTAAAAATAATTTGAAAACATGAGACAAACCCTGAAGTCAAAAAGTTTTGCTAGCGAAGAAAATGCTTTTTTTCTTTGAGACTTCCAAAAACATAGTTTGTAATAATACCTAGTTCTGTTGTGAGGCTTCTGCATATTGATATATTCTGCTGGATCTATTTTGCGAGTTCTGTCCGCTTTGGAGTCTGGCATATCACTTAGCTTATCATAAGCCTTTCAATGGTAGAACAAAATAATGATTTATTAAGAAGACATATTCTGAACAATCCCATCAAAGAAAATTGTTTAACATGTCACAAGTGAAGAACATTATCTTTTTAAATTAAAAAAAAATTCATATACCGTCTTTTCTGAGTATAGGTTGCACTTTTCCCCCAAAATTTAAGCCTCTAAACTAAGGGTGCAGTATAACTTTAGAATGTTGCAAAATAATAGCATCAAACAGTAAGAGTGTTACTTACAATCTGGAGAGGCCTATACTTTGAAAAATATGGAAATACCGGTACACTATTCTGTCAAAATATCTACCATGGACATAACAGTAATTTAAATCAGGATCTTTAAAACATTAAAACTTATTAACTAACTTACATCAGGAGCTTTAACATTGACATATTTGGGCTTGACCTCTTCCCTAGTAAATCCAGTTCCTCTGTCAGATCCATGAGCAACACCACCAGGCAGTGGTTCATCTCCCTGAGAATGGTAATGGATAATATACTTCACATAATGCTTGACTGATGGTGGTTTTAAGTTTAATCGGTAATGAAGAAATAATAAATGAAGATACAATGATTGAGATTATTTCATTTCTTCTCATTTTTACTATTACAAGAAGAAAATAAAGACATGCTTGCTTGTTTCATGAATCTTGTAATGGTTAATGAAGAATTAATTGTTTGCTAAGGGGGGAGCTCTATGTACTTTGTTTTTGATTTTTATAAGGAAATGTCTGTTTATAGAAGAAAGGAATTATAATTAAATATTATTAAAAGTAAAAGTTTTGGTTTTTACCCTTGACCATGTTTTGGGTATAAAGCTAGTCTTTGTGACAGACACTCCTGTAGGTCTGTGGGTATACCAGCCCTATAACAGAAACCAATGGTAATACATATAAAAATTTAGCTTAACTTCACAAGAATAATTGATTTAGGAGTAAAAGTCAACAGCTCATAATATTTTTTTAAAATGAAAAATTGAATATATTTTCAAGTACTAACATATTTTCTACTTTTCGTCCATTGGCTGTTACATGCTATACATCATTGTTTATCATGACTACAAATAATAATAATAATTAAACATATCTACTATGGTTGCCACATGCTCTTTCTAATGTAACCACAGCACCAATAACTCAATATATTTGAAGAAAAAAAAAGGGAATTTCTTAATTAAGCTTTGAAAATAAAACTTACAGGTTTATCATTGAGATGCGCAATTTGTGGTTCATATGTAACAGGCTCATCATTAATATTGTGTACAAATCCAGATTTTTCTTGTGGCCCAATTTCTCTTGTACTGAGGTCCACTTTAAAAAAAGGATGCAGTTCATTAATTAACAAATTTACAAATCTATTGAACATTTTTTTTACTCACTTTGAAATTACCCTTCAAGAAGTCTCCTAGAAGACATACTCAAGTTAGTTAAAATTATCATTAGGTCCAGGGGTGGACTGGCCCACCGGGAAAAATCCTAATGGGCTGATGACATTTAGACCACAAGAGCAGATCTCCCTGTGACATTTGGGAAGCCTGGGCTGCTTCTGGATTACAATACAACACATAACAATAACAACTTGCATATTAAATCCAAACTTACAGTTTATACTCTTGTATTAAATGCCCACTAACAGTTATGATAAGATATGACACAGATAAGGATCATGAGAAACTAATTTTCTGAAAAAAAAAAACATGTTTTAAGTCAGGGAATCGACGAACTTTTTTAAGTAATGCGCCATGTTATATATATATATATATATATATATATATCTGCTAATAAAACAGTTTCATGCTTTTTGGAGGCACAGGTAGTGCACATTTTAAAGGTCTCCACATAAGGTTATAACATTAATACTTTGCACTTATGTATTTTTGAAATACTACACGATAAGTGAGTATTATTTCTGCTTGACAATTTAAAGATAATACAATAGTAAAAATTGATGAATAAAATAATTAAATAATGAAATATCTTTTTTAATATGAAACACAAAACAAAAAAAACAAAAACACGGTGTAGTAAAACCAACACTAACCTAAGATTTGAAACCCAATTTATTAGTTGCTTAATGAATGATTGTCATTTGGGTCTGTTCTAAAGGGTGATAAAGAGATTTGAACTCTTAAGTCTAAATGTATTCTTATTTTTTCTTAATTGTAAATCAGATTTTTTAATTTCTTGTTTGAATTACGATGGTCTCATTGTAAGATTAAGGATACCTGAGACTTGGTTGATAACAATCTCTCCCCTAACAATAAAACTCGAATAGGGATGCTTTTAATTTCTTTCCCGGGCCACATGGCCACTCCAGTCCACCACTGAAAATGCCTATGATTCATTCTAATTCCAGAATATTTTTTTTTATTGAACTCATTAACACCTTTAAAATGATACCCCGCAAACAAAATATTAATTATTTATTTCAAAACACACCCCCCCACACCCCCCCCCCCCCACCAAACCATCCAAATGGCCTAGTGCAGGGGTCGGCAACCTGCGGCTCGCATGCCGCTCTTTTGATGTCAAGATGCGGCTCTCCAGTTCCATGCGCAAATATTAATAATTATATTAAAATTAATCAAATAAAAATGTTAGTGGCTCTTTAAAAACTGGTAAATTTTGTATATTGTAACTTTTGGCTCTTCTGTCTCAAAAGGTTGCTGACCCCTGGCCTAGTGAATGTAATTTTGTTACCCTAAAAATAAATTTTGCTGTCAATATGACTTCTCCGAAAATCTCTATTCCCAATAAGAGTGGTGTCAATAGCAGCTATACAAATACACAGAGACTGCTACTTTTTTTTTAGAAATGAAAAAGATAACTAAAACCAGTGATTTGCAATAGGTGGCCTATTTTGAGGTAGTTCATTTTAGTAATGTACAAAATTTGACAAAATAGTTTCCAAATTTCTGTTACGTACTGAATAAATTTTTGTAACCTACCAGTAGAATATGGGAGACCTTTAAATTTTTCTTGAGCCTCTGTTCTCATGTATCGTGGTCCCTAGTAATAAAAAGCCTTAAAATCAGTGGTGAAATTAATAAACCTATGTGCTCATCAATCTTAACAATTTTCAGCCAAACTATTTTCATTATGCTTTTAATGATTCTGTTTTTTAATCATCAGTAATTCATAAAGCAATAAAGACTTTGTTCACTAAATAAATCTAATACAGTAGAACTCGGTTAAGCCGATGGCCTCGGCATTTGCCAAAAAGCGTTGCAATAACAGATGATCAAGATAATCGAAAACCATTATGGCGGCAATATATTAAAACGTGCTTGAAATTTCTTTATGTACATGATGTGCGTTAATAAATGCAGGTACTTCAGTAAAAGAAATAATGAACAATAGTTTAAATATTACAGTTATTTAGAGCAAATTTTTAAAATGAAACCAGAATCAACTTTTTAACTTTAGTACTTTTTGAGCTACGAATGAGCTATGAATTTTTAAAGTGCGAGTTTGTTTGGTATTTTCTACTATGGACGAAGCCTCCACATTTTGTGACCTCATTCTGCTGATCCTGTCTTGCGCAATAACCATATAGTTTACATAAGGCAACGCATCCCTTTATTACTAAAATACTATTTAGGGACTACTTATTTTGAACTTTCAGCTTTGACACATGACTATTTAATTAAAGCTTTCCCTGACCAATGGTTTAATAGCTTTTGCACAAGGTAAACTCATATGAATGAAACTCTGACGTAGTACCACGGCTTAGCCATTATGCAAGTGACCACGAATGGCTGCCCATGACAACGCTTTGCACACAGCAAATTATGATCATTTATAATATGGACTCTACCTGGATTTTAAACCTCGAATTAAAACATAATTATTTAAATTACTTCTAGATTCATTCTGAAAGACAAGTCCTGTACTTTGAGTAATAAATAATAATTTTTATTATGAAAAACTTATTATTTGTTGTTTGTTATTTCTTCTTGCTAAGTTCTAAAACCGGCGATTGGTCATGAAGATCGAGATAACCGAGGTTAAGTGGCAAATTTGGCCACCTTTTGTGCTCCAGATATCAGGTTTGGGCGACCTAAAAGAATCAACATAACCGAGGAGAAAATGCTAAGACATTGACATAACAGGGTAGGCAAATTAACCGAGGTCGAGATAAGCAATTCGACTGTAATGTTTATTTCATTAGAATAAAGTCATAAGAATATTGGAGCATGTCCACCATTAACGCATGGTTAGAGAGGAAGAGAGAAATGAAGTACTAAAGATTACACGCCAAGAAGACAAAAGTTACTATAAATACAAATTACATAACTGGTATAGCTCTGCATAACCAACTCAACACTAAACATTAAATCATTTATCAACATCTTTCCTTTTCAAAAATGAGCAAAAACAACACCTTTCCATTTCAAGCATTAATCAACAGCTATCATAGTCAATAGTGTATGCAACAACTTACATAGCCATAATTTTCTTGCTCTACTGGATCTTTTCCTTGAAGTTTATGCAAAAGGGGTTTATGTTTTGGTAGTATACTGGCTGGTGCACTTCCTATTCGTTGATCAATGAAATGAACCTTCACCTGAATAGAACAATTTACATAAGTATACAAGTATACACCATCAGCAAAAAAGACTCACTAGAGTTGATTATCAAGAACCTATTGTTGAAGATGTCACAAGGAAAAGATGGAAGTTCATAGGAAACATAACCAGACACTCATCATGGAACTCACAAGGGAAAAATGAAGAGAGGACTGCAAAAGAACACATAGGGATTTGAGCTAGAGGTAGGCACAGTAAACACAAACACACATGAAAATAACAGTAAAGGAAAGCATAGGATGAGTTGAATTGAGGACACTTGTAAACGGCATATTCCCCAAGTGGGGTAAAGTAAGAAAATTTCATAATTATATTATCATAAAAAACATAATCAAAGCATACAAATCTGACATTCTCTTTAAAAATTTAATAAATATCATTCAAGATTTTAAAATACAGTTACCTCATTTTCTTTAGGTACAGTTAAGGCCTTGTGTCTACCAAAAGCAGAAGGGCTATAATGTACACTAAATGGAAAAGTCTCTAATCCTGAAGGATCTCTGTAAGCCTGGTAGTCTAATTGGGTTACTGAACGATAATTGCCGTCACAGATACGCCTTATAAAGTAAAACAAATTAAGATGTTAAGAAATGTATATGTAGTTAGCTAACATAATCTAAAAGTCTATTTTTAATACCAAGAATTACTTTGGAAAAAATAGTTGTGGTTAAAAAAAGGTGAGACTTTAAACTTATTAACCCTCTTGCTGTAATAAAATGCACCATTGACATCGGTAATATGTATGTGTGACAAGCAACCACTTAAAATCTTTTTTTTTATTAACTTTAAAATATTGCTATGCTCACCTCATGGCTGGGTTGTCGACATCATCAAGTCTCCTATTATAATAAACACCAGGGCGAAAATTACTGAGGTAACCAGTGCCTCTATGTCTAACTTGACGGGGTTGAAACTTTTCATTGCGTGCTCCATATGTAGTTGAGTTTTGAGTTATGTAAAATTTCATAATATTTGTATCTGCTCCCTGTGATCTTTGAATATGAGCATTTCTTGGCCCAGTAGGTAATTTGCTCATCTTGACTTCACTTTAATATCGCTACATAAAATATAAAGTGAAATGCAAAAATTCAAAATTAATTATTAATATAATTTAAATTCTGAAAAATCTTTACCTTTTCTCTTCAGTTTTTTTAAACAATATATTATCATTTTTATTATTGTAAATATTGAAATAGCATTAGTAGTATTAGTATTTAATAATGAATGTTAATAATGTTGCTATTTCAATCATTATACTATTATCTATGTTTGTTAAAAATTTAATTTCTTCACTTGGACAATAGGGTCGTTAACAAATTACATCATGCTTCGGGGGGCGTGGGGGGTGGGGGGGGAGGGTTCGAGAATTTGTGACGTCACAATTTTTTATATTATTTTTTTTTTTTAATCTAAAATTTTCTAATTTTGAAAAATCTTTTTTCAATTAATTTTAAAAACATTAATTGTAGGTCAAAATTGCCTCAGGTATTATTGGTAATGTGAACCTCAGTCGGGCACACCTTTTGGACGAAAACTGTTGTGGCCATTTTACATTCAGCGCGGGGATGACTTCGTTGTTTCGCGTCACAGATTTATAATAATAAAATATATAATAATACTACATGATAATCCATTATCATTATGGGAATATGTTAAAGAATAAAATAAAATCTTAGTTTAGTTATTAAAATTTTATGTATGTTTAATTTTATGTATGTTTTTATTTTTTTTAGGTGTGCTGTAACACTAATGGTGGGAAGGGGGGGAGGGGGTAAAGAATTTGTTACACTTGTCTAAAAAGGTCATTTTTTGCTTGACGTAATTTGCGAACAAACCCAAAATAGATGATAGACATTATTTTAACATCAAATCACTTTCATAATCCACCACTTTTAAAGAGGAATGAAATTTATGTGTTTGCATATTTAAAAAATTGTAATGAGCTTGAACTTGGACTTGAAGGGATTAATTAAGCTAAAATTAAGAAATACCCAGCCAGGTAATTAATAAAATGACAGAACCTAAGCATAAAAAGCCTAGTTAAATAATTATGTAATGCTCACACAATAGTGTCAATAGTAAAAGACACCATAATATAATCTAATTATTTATTCTTTGTTCTATTTACTAATTATTTAGGCAAATAGTTTATAATTAAATATCAGAACAAGGTATGCTAAACTTGAATAAATAGACAAGACAAAATATTTGGACGTTTTGGCTTAGAGCCTTCATCAGCAAACAAGACAAAAAGAATTATGACAAGTAACAGAACAGAGCACAGTACAAAAATTAAGAGATTTCCTTTTGTTGCTGTGCAATCTTTACTACTTCATTTCTCTCATTCTCATCCTCTCTAACCATGCCTTAATTGTGGACATATTCCAGCAGCAACAAAAGGAAATCTATTATAGTGTTTTTTTACTGTTTTAATGTGCTCTGTTACTTGTCATACTTCTTTTTGAAACTTCCAAATCTTTTGTCCTGTCTATTAATTATTAATTCAAGTTTAGCATACCTTGTTCTTATATTTCCTTTACACAACTTGAATGCAGTTTATCAATTATTATAGTTTATAATAGGTGAATAAGTTACGCGGATATTCTGTTACTGTTTTTCATATCTAGTCTAAGTCCTAGGCCTAGTGTTAACAGTTAACAGTTACATTTTCAACTTAAATAAATAAAGTTACTTAAGTTACTACACTACACTCACTTCACACTGTAACTGTAACTGATTTACTGTCCACACTCACCAAATCGGGACACATAAGTACCAACCAACCTAACAAAACTTTAAAATTATATAGACACTCTTTAATGAATAATTTTAATATTTTCAATTCCACACGTATTTTATAAAGTATAAAAATGTATGCTTACTTTTGCTCAGGGCTCACAAAACTAACCAGTTCCAGGTCTTCCAATCCGCTTCATCCGGTTGCCTAGAAACGGCAGACATAAGACATCTAGTAAAACTATTGTGACGTGACCCGTAAAATGAAAATTAAATTCATTACGTGTATTAAAAAAGGGATTGGGGAAACAACGTAGGCTCTTTATTACAGTAAAAATTATGAATCTTACAAAATTAACTATTTGAACTTTTAATTATTTTATTTAAAATGTCAATTAAAATCTTATGAAGTCTTATGCTTTTAATCATTACAATTTCAATTACATTAGGCTTACTGATTAAATTATTTATGTGGAAAGTATCGCACTAATCAATAATAGGATGCAATTATTATAACACACTAAAATAATATATTCGTACAAATATGTTTAAATGAATATAATAAATATAAAATTTATTAATATGAAAAGAACTTCAGAGCTTCCATTCAATCCCTACGTACTTATAACACCATCCAAACTTATTTTTTAAAACCAATTTGAAAAATTAAATTATATTAGGGGTCGTCCATTAATTACGTCAACAATTTTTACACATTTTTTACCCCCTCCCCACTGTCAAATTTTTGATGACCCCCCTATTTAATTATGTCAACATTTTATAACCCCTTCCCAGAAAATAATGAATTATAATATAAATAAATTAATAAATACATTTTACTTTGTGCTGATCTATTTAAATGACACATATAATGGTATGGAAATAATTTTATTACTACATGTTTAGCTTTTTTTAATGTTAATCAACAAGTTAAAAAGCTTTTACACTTAAATTTTATAATGCAGAATCAATTAAAAGGTTGTTAAGGACTAAATATCATTGTTTGTGGAAGTATAAATATGTTTATTGTCAGTAGTATAGCTGACAATTATAGTATAGTTTCTAGCTTCTATCATCTTCCCATGGAGTAGCCAGGTGTTGCTGTGTCGTAACTATGGACATCATTTGGGTAGGGCAAGGGGACATTTGCAGCCCTCCCTCCCTGATTTTGCTGGTTTTATTTTAATTGCTATGTACTGTGGCGTCTCCAGTAATAAACAAATTAACAAGCCGACCAAAATTTGGTATTGCCCCTCCCCCCCCCCTCCCTTCCCCTGAAAAAAACTGAAACCACGCCCCTGATGGGCATAGTGTGTAGCAGTTGATTCATCATTTTCACTTTGTGGTACTGATATACCAGACAAGTCAACATCATTCTTACCGAACCATTCAGCACTTAAAATGGAAGTATTGTCGGTGTGAGCAATAATTGCCATAAGCTTTGAGTTGGTATAGTTGTTATTGAACACTGATGAGTTGGTTTGTTGTTTTTTAAATTGAACACCCTGTACAATGATGTGTTAATCATTCAGAGAAAAATGAAAGGTTAAAAGATACCAACTTTTGACTTCTCTTGCACGAGTCAATTTTAAAGATTAAAATTCTAATAGAAAAAAAACATGATTGTTTATGTCAACTAATCATAACTCCGCCCTCCCCCTTGCCAACAACTGTCAAACATTTCCAAACCCCCTCCCCCATTTTGTTGACGTAATTAATGGATGCCCCTTAATAACAGTATAACTATAGTGTCTATTGTCTACGATTTTAAAAAAAAATGCATTACCCTTTACTTTAAATTTAGTTAACACTGCTGAGCTATAATATTTATTGAAAGAAAATATAAAGCTTTTATTCTCTGACAAATTATTTGTAGTTATAGTGTAGGCTATAATTATATTTTTGCATTATTCAAAAATAAAGTTGGTAAAATTTGAAAGACTCCCCCCTCCCCCAAATTCAGTTGTGATGAAATTTTAATAATTACATAATTTTGTGGCGGCAATGATTGTAATTGTAGTTGTTTGAGGGTCATATTTAATATTCAAAATTATAACACACATAAAATTCTTAAACTTAGATATATGTCCCTGGTTCTATTATTTTAAAATTACATTATTTATTCCAACAGTGCAACAGAGATGTCCATTACAAGAGTTGTTGACTGTTGGAAACCCTTTTAATTGATTATCAAAAGTATTGTTTTGGCAAGGAACTTTATATCATCAAGCATTATTAAGTAGCAAAATCTGAATATTTGGAAACACATATGTGCACACAGAGGCCACATTATTAATACTTAAATAGCTATGTTGAAAAATGTTTATCAGATTAAAAATCTAAACAAATTTAACACATATACAGTTTAAAAAAAGCAAAACAAATAAGTTAGAAAAAAGAAATATTTAATATGTATACTGAAATAGCACCATTATTATAGAAACAAATTGTTTCTTTAGACACCAAAAAGGGCTTTGGAAAAAAAGCAATACATATAGCATATAATAGGTTTACTTGTCATATATGGATTTCTAATCAATGTTTTAATCAAATTATAATTTTTTATTATAAACTTTTTTTTCATTTCTAATAAATTTAGTAATATTTAATTAGATGTACATATTGATTTTAAAATATGCTCCTTCCTCAGGGATATGTCCCACAAAGATTTCACCTGGCTAAAAATAATGTATAAACTTGATTCTTTTGATGCCCTACATCTTATGACTGTTAAGCAGAAATTAATCTTGTATTATTGATTCTTTGGGGGGACAGGTGCCCAGGAGTCAATAATCCATGATAATAATGCTTTGAATTCTGTAGCTTTCAAAAAATATTGTGTAGCCGTTTAAAAAAAAAAAAGTTAAATTCAACTGCAAAAATACATAGACATTTTCTAACAGTTATACAATTAAAAAGAATATATAATATATATATATATAAATGTTCTATATCTATCATACACACATTTTTTTAATCCTTTATATTAACTTTGCTTTTGTTTGTGGTTGGCTGTGTGGCAAAATCTTCGGACTGCTAAGTGACCCACTTCCTGTCAACTTATTGAGCTGAAAAGATGACATTACATTCTATTAAATTTTCAACCCCCAGCAATCAGTTTTTCTTCTTTTTCTAGGGGAAGATAAAATGAAATTCCCAATAACTGCGCTAAATGAGATTCTTTTTAAAAAAAATATCGCAAGTGCATTTGGCATGTAACATTTTCTTTTGTTTTTCTTAAATTGTTGGTGAAATAAATCTGCTGTGTAAAAGCGGGTGGGAATATTAATATAGTTCAGGGGCGTGAAGATGTGCAATTGCGAGCCTTGGTGGTGGGGTTGGGGGGAATTCTTATAAGTGCGTAACTTTAAGGCATGTTTTGTTCCCCCCACCTCCAATTGCTCAATGTTACATTTTATAAAGGATTTATATGAAAAACTGTATTTTTTTGGGTTTGTTTCATTTAAGTACTGTCCATCACACAATTAATTGTGCAACTTCATACAAGTGCAATTTTCCAAGTCTCTTTTTTAAATTTTTATTAAAGTCCAAGTAAATATTTAGTAATTATTATAATCTGTCTTACTTAGGTATATGTTGTTAGTAATGGTATTTAGAACTTAAATTATTTTTTTATGGCCTGAAATAATGAATAATTGAAGATTACAATTTCATAAGATTTGGAGCCATGCTTAGCATATTCACTAATAAATTATTTAATTGCACAAAATTTATGATAAGCAGTTAGGATATTAAGTCTAACAAGTGTTTTTATCACATAGAATTTCAAATTCATCCAACTGTTTTCTGCTTGCTTTCTTTTTATACTCTCTTTCCAGAGACTGGTTGGAAGGCCTCCGGATACTTGTTGTCAAATATAAGCCTATGGAAAAATTAGAAATAAAAATTTTAAGACAATAAACCTCTTTGCCATATTGTTTTAAAAACTTCAAATAAAATCATTGTTTTTAGCTTCCTGGATTTAAGGATCTGCCTGCATGCAACTTGACCATTTCTACTTCATTGGTTTGACAGTACCAACAAAGCATGAAATGAATCAGTTAATATTCTTTTCAATTTATACAAATTTAAGATTTTTTTAATGACATAAGGAATACGTATACCTTAAGAGAATAATATACTTATATATAATAATAATAATAAATACTTTTGATATAATTTAAAAAACGAGGTTTTTACTGGTAAAATTTTGAAATAAAATGATAAATAATTCAAAATTCCTTCAGTTAAAAATATTATTTATAAAGGAAGCATTATTAAAGACATTTTTAGTATCAGCAAGACTTGATTTGATAAGATTAAAAAAATTCTTTTGATTCCTTTTTTTAAAAAAGGAACTGGTTTGGCAAATGTAAGCATTGTTAAGGGAATCAAGGTTCTAAAAAATATTTCAGATGCCAGTATCCAATACTTGCTCACTGCAAAGCCAGGATTTTTAATCATACTATTTTTTACTCCTTCAGCACCTAAAAGGTACCAAATTAGCTTTACCTGTAGCGGCGGATCATCTCCATCAGACCATCAGCAATAGTGTCTTGCTTGTCAAAGTAGTGGCGAACTGCAAGGGAGATCCTCTGCACATCATCATTTTTAAGTTTCATTTTTGTCCCTTGTCTTGTCAGTGTGTACAGCTAAGTAAATAAAAAGCATCTAGGGTATAAAGATTTATTTCAATTTGAGAAGGCTTATGGTATACAAAAGTAAATTCAGACACGAATGCTAATGAAAAGAATGCTAAAGACTGATGAAATATAATATAATTTTACTTATCTTTTTAGTAAAGAATCACCCTCGTTTGAAAAAGCTTTGCATTAAATTTTGGATATTTCACAGTTAAATTTTTGTGAACAATTTTTATACTTAAATACATAATAAAATATATTTAATTTTCACCCTGCTAATGTTCAGCTATATTTCATTTTATAAATCCCTTTAGTTAATATTTATCTGACTCAAACTGCAAAGTTAAGATATGGAATAGCAACTTAATTGTTCACATCTTGTCCGAAAATGTTTAAACAAAGTGTCCGTTTCTGACACTGTTCTTTAAAATTTTTAAGAGATAAAAAATATTTAATTTAGTTTAAAAGAAGTTTTGTAAGAAGTTACTTTAGAATAGAAAATTAGATACACTATTTTAACTAATTTTCCTTTTAAGCCAAAACAACTAAATATTTTCACATTTTTTGAGTTACATTAATTTCTTCGAAAAAATTACCCGGACATCAGAAATTTGAAAAAGATTTTCCTAAAACATTTTAAAATTTAAAAACTTGTATGAAACTGATTTGGAAGTAATAAAAGGTTGAGTTGAGTTTTGTACTCAACAAGGAGTCTTTTGTTATCTACTACTTACCAGAGAGTCGGCTCTAGAGAAAAGGATAAGCAGAGTCTCATTGCAGGCTCCTTCCATTTTCCAGCGCTGTGTGAGAATGTAGGAATACATCTGGGCATCTCTCAGGTTGGCATATGATGTGTTAGGTTCATCTCTACAAAGACCAATTTAAGTAAGGTCAATAATTTTTTTTAATATCGTTTCCTTTATTTACTTAAAAAAGGATCTTGTTATAAATTAATTAATATTATAAAAAAGAAGTGTTTTATAATATATTTCTTTTTAAAAATTACTTTAGCTAAAAAAAAATTTGGCAAAATAAATCTATTTTCCTTCATTTAATACCAAAGAACTATACTGCTTACAAATAAAAATAACTTTATTTTGTTTCATTGCAGTTTAAAACAGTTGTCAGGTTATATTATTATTGGTACATGCTTGTCATTACAGTCTTACTTAAAAATTCTCTCAAATTTATGCATCAGGGCCACTCTAATGATGTATCCATGCTTGTTCTTGTGGCAGTCAAAACAACCGCAGGTTGTCTCCCTGTACACAGCATTGATGAGATTTTCAATGGCATCAGCTAATGGAACAAATACAATAAATATTCTCAATATATTTTTAAACAGTCTAAATTCAAATCATTTATTGCTATCTACAACTGAATTTTTGACTCAGGTTTTGTCTTGTATTAATAGATATTAATAAAGTCAGTAATGGCGTTTGTACATTACATCTCAGAATGTTCACAGACACAGCAAGACTGATATTTTATTAAAAGCATGCAAAAATTGATGAAACAATAATCAAGATTTTTGCAGGCATTTTTACCTACAAAGTACACAGTTGTTTGGGATAAAATGAGACCCACAATATATTCCATCTAATTTTAAAAAATGACAATTGGCCAGGCCAAACCATAACCTTACATAAATAGGAAACATATTTTTACATTTGTATTTGATATATTGCATAGAAGGATTATAGCATTAGTTAGTGAGCTGCAAAATGAATAAAGTCATAGCTTAACTCCACTGAATTAATTTACAATTAACTATAAAAGGATATATTATCATTTCATTTTATAAAAATAATTTGTTTATTATAGGTACAGTATTATAAAAAGTTTGCGTGGCTATATTTGGCAACATACAATAAAAACTATTAAAAAGCTAGATATTAGACATAAGACGTACATGTTTGCCTAAACAATGAACCCAAATGGAGTACAATTGTTAAATTGACAGTTACAACTTTGTTTTAAAAAAATGACAAAAGCTAAAAACCTAACCGCAGTCCTTGATATCACCAATTGGATCCCAAAATGAAATATATGTTGTACCTACCGGCAGTTCTTGATATGACACCATTTGGATCACAAATGGAAGATATGTTGTATCTGCCACAGCGTCTTTGGTCATCAGCGTTTGGGGAATGAGGATCTGGATAATCATACACTGACCAAGTCAGAGGGATTCCATCTCTTGACCTCCCATATTGACCAGAGACTTTAGTAGAGACAAAAGCCACTAAAGTCAAAATGATGAATTGCAGATGTGACATCTTGTAACTGCAAAAAAAAAAAAACAATTTAATTCTTTTTAAAAATTACGTGAATTAAAAACGTTTATATTATAATTTTTTTTATCCCTGCAGATGCTATATTTAAATAAATTGGAAGTTTAATTATTTTATTTACATTTCAACAATTACTTAAATAAAATTATAGCAATAAAATGATTTAAAAAGATATAAAATGCCAAAAAGAAAAAAAAAATTGGCCACCAGTTAATAGAGTTATTTATTTACTAACATGCGTAGGTTCCTTCTGAGACCAGGACCTCTTTTTATTTGTACTTTGAGCTTATACTTATAGTAATATAGTTAGCTAGGAATAAGGCAGAATGGAATATATATTTTCAGAGTCTTTAAAATTGCAAAAAATATCAGTCATAATGATAGCTTATATTTAAAATTATAAATTATACTAATATACTATGACAGTTCAGTACAATTCTATAAATTTGTAATCACATGTTACTTAATCCCTTCTGACACCCCACATTTCTAATTGAATTAGATGATAAGACGTAATTTGGTAGTGGCTCTACAAATAATATATACTAATTACTATACACCCATATCTAAACCCAAATCAACTTTATTGTTGCCTTGGCCTTGATACTTAAACAAATGCTTAAGTTTGTTAGTTGAAATCTGGCCTTTTACTTTCATGAATCTAGAACATAAATTACCCTAATTCATAATAAATTCAAAAATAGGTCTACACTGAAGACAGTGTAAGTGTAAATTGTAATTTAAAATTTGTTGATTAGATAACTCCTTTGAATTTATTATTACCTCATAGCCATAATAGTATTAAAATTAATTATTAATATTAATAGCTTAAATAAACTTAATCTTTTGATAACATTAGTGTTATTAAAGTGTAAAGACTAAAGTATTATAATTAGTATAAGACATATTAGAATTACTATGACCTAAGAAGTCTTTCAGACTGATATTTAATACTATTATTACTTATTAGAGCAGTGTTTCCCAACCTTTTTCAAGTTATGCCCCACCTAAGTCTTTCTAAAACTCTTATGCCCCTCCCCCCACGTTTCGTATACATAATTTTTAACATTCAAATATAGGGTTGTTCACTGAAGAAAATTAAATGATAGGTTTTGGGGAGAAATCACAATGCAATTGGTGGGGAAACATAAGTAAATTTTCAAAACATTTAATGTTTTAACATTTTCAAGTACGAAATAATTTTAATGAAAGATTTTCTATATTATTTTAATTAACACATAATTATTTGTAATTGCTTATTATTTAAATTTAGTGAGATGTTTATGCTTGATGCTTGCTGCAAAGAGATTTTATGATGTTAGGTTCCAATTTAGTTAGCTTCAGTCTCAAGTCTCTCCATTGTGTTACATTGTGTTATATCCAGCCCATTTTTTTTTCTTTGCAACAAATCATTTATGGCACTAAATCCATATTCTGCTAAATATGAAGTAGGCAACGGGAATAATAGTTTTATTGCACATTTGGTTGAATTTTAAAATTTGATTTCTGTTTCCTGGCAAAGTCATGCCATCGCTCCTTCAAATTAAATAAAATTTTAATAGACTCATCATCGTGCATTTCTGCAAGTTCTTCTTGATATTGCATATTTGAAATATCCGACAAATCCACTAACATTGGCTGCATCATCCAAGTTCGAAAATCAATTTGATTCAAACCAGAAAATCTTTCTTTTAAATCAGCCAATAGAAGTTTCAGATGGTAGAGTGGTATCAGTCACTTCACATTTTTGGAACCAATAAAACTTTTCAAAATTTTTGTTGTAAATATTTTTCTGACACAATTCAATAAAGGTAATGAAACCAAACATTTTCGCTTTTGCATCAACAATAGTTTCATTTGTTCCTTGAAGTTGGTTTTTTGATATATTTTGTTTCTTTCAAAGATATCGGCTAAATAACTCACAAATGCTTTACTATTGACCGTCAACAGTTATTTCATATTAGGTTTGTCACTTTAAAAAAGCGCAAGTGTATCAAATATTTCCATAAATCTTTTCAAGCAATTCCCTTTCTTCTTCTTCTATATCTTAAGGGCCCACGATCAATTTATTGATCATTTTGGCTCCTATGCATGTAGATGGGATTTGCAATGTTTCTGTTACTGGTGGTGATGAGGAAATTATGCACTAGGGGTTACAGTCCCTGATTGTCTTGGGCAGGAATGAGCAGCTCCTATACTGGCTTCTTGCTGGTATGAGCCTGAATTGCCTGTCATGGCCTCGTCGCTGTCTATGGGGGAGAGGGACGAGTTTCTGTTTAATACCGGAACAGTGGACCAGCCCATTATTTATCTTGTACATCATGGAGAGCTTGGATTGTCGTCGTCGTTTCTCCAATGGTGACCAGCCTAGTGTTTCTAGCATGCTGCCAACACTAGAGGTATTCCTTTCGAAAGCTATCTAACTTTAGTGTGAGGTAAAAGTCATACATAGACTGAATTTTGTTCTTCACAAAATAGCTTGAAGAGACGTTCACATTTGGTATTAGCTTTAATAGCATTGATACACTTTATAACTGAATTTAGTACTTCCATTAGAACATGCGAAATGTTTTTAGCTACTATGTTTTCCCCATGAATAGCACAGTGCACAAGTAGCATTTCTGGATTCTCATCTTTCATCAAATTTAAGCAGCTACTTTTCTTGCCCATCATATTAGGCATTAGGAGCACCATATGTTATCTTTTTCATTGGTATATTATTGACATCTTAGTAATTTTTTTAGCTTATTATATATATATATATATATATATATATATATATATATATATATATATATATTTTATATATATATATATATATATATATTATATATATTTTTGGCGGTAGTGGTGCTTTCTAATCAGTCTAATGAGTTACAGAACAACAATTCTTCAGCAAAATACTCTTTATCAATATATCTTACGTAAATTATCAATACAACCTCACTGTCTCTCAAATTTAATTCATCCATTTGCATTGAGAATTTTTTTGTTTTCAGCTTTTCAACAAGTTGTATTTCCATGTCTTCACTCATTTCGTCTATTCTTCTCCTAACAGTATTGTTACTGAGTGGCATAGCTTTCACATCTTTGTAATCTTTTCCCAGAACCTTTTAAGAAATGCTGATATTGATGGTTTGATGAAATTCTCTCCTGTAGTATGATTCTTCCCAGATTTAGCATGGGTAATGAAATTTCATAACTATAAACTAGCCACAAGATTACATTTACAGTATGAGCCACATATAACTATAATGTTGCTCTTTTTTCAAAATACAAGTAACAAGTTAAAGTAGACGTTGGTTTTCAAATTCAAGACAGCTCATTTTCAAATTGCCCCCATAAGGAGCGTGGGCCCCACGTAGGGAAACACCGTAGTATTAGAGTATTCAGTATACTTAGTAATAGTAATACCGATAGTCAGTGATAGTGGTTAAAATTAAAATGAAAATAATAGGAATTTATTTAAATGTGTTATTAGCGTTAAATTTATTATTTATTAATCTATGCACTTTACATGCTATAAATAATTAATAAAATAGGGCCTGGGTCGGGGCCAAGCACCTTTTAATTTACGGAATATTATTTCTTTTACTTTGAGTAATTATTAGTATTTAGTTTTGGCTTAGGCCAGGCTTAAACTTAAGACTTTAATTAAGAGTATTAAGACTAAGACTTAAGTGTTAGCTATAAAAATATATTAAAATATGTAAGCCAACTGTTAAAAAATAAAGATAAGAAAGGCTAAATAACGTAAATTGTGTTTATAATCTACAAGAAAACGGTTACAGTACCTTCTTCTTCCTTTCTCATCAGCTCACACACCAACCAATAGGTTAGCTCTACAGTCTACTGACAAATATGTTCGCACACACCTTTCGCCAATTAATTTGTAAATATAAACCAGGACCAGAGCTAAACGAAACGAGTTTCCTCCTACGACATCCTAGCGCACACAGTAGAAAGCCTGTGTTATTTTAAGCACGGTAGCTGTACCCGTTTCCCTCCTTTAGTCTATAATCTTTATGGGCATGGACCGGTTGTAGTACGAAGGCAAAAAAAAAAAAAAAAAAAAAAGGGTTGGTGGGGTACGCTATTATTTTATCTTATTTAACAGTACACCTATGCCATCAGTGTGTGATCGTGGGTAAGGAATGTAGTTAATATTATGACATATTATAATATTAAGCAGGCTGAGTTGTATCTTACTGTTAGTATTGAGTGGAGGAACATAAGACTTTTCATGGGGGGGGGGGGGCCTCACACAATTTAAGTTGTGAGCTCCAGTGACTGAAGTGATTCATTCTAATTCGTACATGAGTTGTCTCTCCCCACCCACAATTTTTATTTTTTAAAACAAAATTTAAATAAAATAAAAAAAATAATATTTGTATTTATGTATATCCCCCTTCTCAAATTGTTTTTATATGCCAAATATCCTTATCACAGCAAAGTGTACAATGCTTCTTATGAAGTGTCATATTAGATTGGCTATATAGTGATCGATATAAGATTGATGTCAATTTCATACATGGCCAGCCGTCCCCAATCCTCTCCACCCTCCAGTTTTTATAATTAATACCCCGATGCATAGACAGTGTGGAATCCAGTAGCAGGCCCTTAATATTGGGGGTACCTAAATTTACTTTTGTGTGCCCAAAATGCCCCACTTCCCCCAAACAATTTTCTTCTTCTTTTTTTAATATCTTTTTTTACTACCCCCACGAGCATTTATGTTAAAAAAAAATTATGAAGGTAACAATAACTAATAAAATAATTTTAGCTGTCAACAGTAAGTTAAGGGCCTAATTTAATTAGGGACCATACACATTACATAACACAAAAATATGACATTTTGACCCATCCCCACACCTTATAACGTTGTATAATAACCTTTCCTCTGACCGCACACCCCCCTCCTCCAATATTATTTAACTTTTGGGAAAAACAACTAAAAAAAAAAAAGTTTCCAACAAAATTTGTATTTTTAAACATTTTTATTAACCAAACCAAATGATTCAAAGTTGCTAGGTTTTGCCACACACACAAGAAAGGCGAATAAGTTAAAAAGGTAAAACAATACAATATCAAGAAAAGAGCCAGACTTTTTAAAAATTTAAAATGTGCCAATTTCTGGAAGCAATAATTACACTTCAGCTTTTAATAATCTAGGCTAATTTCGTATATTTGAATTTTGAAAGAAGAAATTTTGACCAAAAAAAAAAAAAAAAAAAAAAAAAAAAAAAAAAAATAAATTTAATTAAAAAAAAAAA